GTGAGTCCTCATAGCCAAGCTGAATTAAATCCTCATAGACGAGCTGAAGTGAGTCTTTCATAGACGAGCTGAAGTGAGTCTTTCATAGACGAGCTGAAGTGAGTCTTTCATAGACGAGCTGAAGTGAGTCTTTCATAGACGAGCTGCAGTGAGTCTTTTTATAGACGAGCTGCAGTGAGTCTTTTTATAGACGAGCTGCAGTGAGTCTTTTTATAGACGAGCTGCAGTGAGTCTTTTTATAGACGAGCTGCACTGAGTCTTTTTATAGACGAGCTGCAGTGAGTCTTTTTATAGACGAGCTGCAGTGAGTCTTTTTATAGACGAGCTGCAGTGAGTCTTTTTATAGACGAGCTGCAGTGAGTCTTTTTATAGACGAGCTGCAATGAATCTGTTTATAGAAGAGCTAAAGTGAGTCTTTCATAGACGAGCTAATGTAGGTCTTTCATAGACGAGCTGAAGCTGAAGTGAGTCTTTCATAGACGAGCTGAAGCTGAAGTGATTCTTTCATAGACGAGCTGAAGCTGAAGTGAGTCTTTCATAGACGAGCTGAAGCTGATGTGTGTCTTTCATAGACGAGCTGAAGCTGAAGTGAGTCTTTCATAGACGAGCTGAAGTGAGTCTTTCATAGACGAGCTGAAGCTGAAGTGATTCTTTCATAAACGAGCTGAAGCTGAAATGATTCTTTCATAGACGAGCTGAAGCTGAAGCTGAAGTGATTCTTTCATAGACGATCTGAAGTGAGTCTTTCATAGACGAGCTGAAGTGAGTCTTTCATAGACGAGCTGAAGCTGATGTGTGTCTTTCATAGACGAGCTGAAGCTGAAGTGAGTCTTTCATAGACGAGCTGAAGTGAGTCTTTCATAGACGAGCTGAAGCTGAAGTGATTCTTTCATAGACGAGCTGAAGCTGAAGTGATTCTTTCATAGACGAGCTGAAGCTGAAGTTAGTCTTTCATAGACGAGCTGAAGCTGAAGCTGAAGTGATTCTTTCATAGACGAGCTGAAGCTGAAGTGATTCTTTCATAAACGAGCTGAAGCTGAAGCTGAAATGATTCTTTCATAGACGAGCTGAAGCTGAAGCTGAAGTGATTCTTTCATAGACGATCTGAAGTGAGTCTTTCATAGACGAGCTGATGTGAGTCTGTCATAGACGAGCTGATGTGAGTCGTTTATAGACGAGCTGATGTGAGTCGTTTATAGACGAGCTGATGTGAGTCTTTCATAGACGAGCTGAAGTGAGTCTTTCATAGACGAGCTGAAGTGAGTCTTTCACAGACGAACTGTAGTGAGTCTTTCACAGACAACTGTAGTGAGTCTTTCACAGACGAGCTGAAGTGCGTCTTCATAAACGAGCTGAAGTGCGTCTTCATAGACGAGCTGAAGTGAGTCTTTCATAGACGAGCTGAAGTGAGTCTTTCATAGACGAGCTGAAGTGAGTCTTTCATAGACGAGCTGAAGTGAGTCTTTCATAGACGAGCTGTAGTAAGTCTGTCATAGACGAGCTGTAGTGAGTCTTTCATAGACGAGCTGAAGTGAGTCTTTTATAGAAGAGGTGAAGGACCATGGAGTCTCCCTCCATAGACGTGCTGAGAGACCCTTGTAATCCATAGAGCTGAAGGGTGTCCGAAACCTGATAGACGATCTGGAAGACTAGACTTCAATTCTGTTCATCTGTTGATTGCGGAACACAACTGCTCTTAAAATAGAAATCCTGATTAACCAAAGTTTCTTCGTAGTCCCATGGTTAGTACTTTGCATCTATGTTGTGCCTCTCTCCCTCCAGCTCCTCAAAGTCTGAAATGACAGTGTCCAGATCGGACACCATCTTATATAGCATCTTACGGCAATGCTCCTTCGATTTCAGTAGGAAGTTAGGATGAACATAGCCTTTTCTTCATGAGTCGGGGATGAGGTTATTCCAGATGTTGTCATAAGGGATATTATCCTCGTTGAACCCTTAGGGCTCACACTGTGATAGATAAACTTTACGCCAATTGCCCAGCCTTGTCTCTTTACCTCAAGGGTGGGATTCGTGACGCTATCGAAGACGTAGGGCAGCCACCCTTTAAGCCTGCTCGTATTGAAAATTTGGCCAAAAACATACCTTCCTATGGATTGAGTATCCGAAAATTTTCCCTTACTGAGACCCCTTTATAAGATCTCAACAGTGGCCTTGTCGCATTAATGATGTTGCTCCCATTTTGCCCATATGTCATGTGGCAACACTCGTTTATGCTGTTGCCCCCCTCCCCCCATCCACCCTTCTATTACACATAACCGACCGGAATTAAGCTTAGATTATTTATGATTTCCCGTGGAATGAAATGGCATGGCAGTATCTACCATGGAGTAAAATAAGTTTCTTTGTTTTTGGTTTGGCCACAACAAAAAAACTCCATTCATATTTGCATATATTGGCTGGAGTTGGTGCTGCTGCTAATATAAAGGCGGTACTCCTTCTCTTCGATGGAGTCCACATTTCGCATAAAATCTAAAACACAATAGAGGCGCTTGTTGCTGGTTGGCTGGCTGATAATGATGATGCCGATTATGTTGCTGGGAACTTTGAACAGCAAAGCAAATAAAAATTGTCCATTCAATAAATTAGATTGGAACTGAAGCGAATAGTAGTGGGTGATTGTGGTGTTGGAATATTATCTAGCAAAAGTGGATAGAAAGTGAAATGTCGGCAAACACAAATTTGGAGTATGGACATTGTAGCTCATTAGAGGTCGCTTTTTTAACGAATCTGCTCGCAGTTCTTATATAAAAATATAATTTTGTTCTCGGAGGCAGCCTTCAGTTGGTCTATAGAGATAGCCTTCAGATGGTCTATAGGGACAGCCCTTCAGCTGGTCTATAGAGACAGCCCTTCAGCTGGTCTATAGGGACAGCCCTTCAGCTGGTCTATAGAGACAGCCCTTCAGCTGGTCTATAGGGACAGCCCTTCAGCTGGTCTATAGAGACAGCCCTTCAGCTGGTCTATAGAGACAGCCCTTCGGCTGGTCTATAGAGACAGGCCTTCAGCTGGTCTATAGAGACAGGCCTTCAGCTGGTCTATAGAGACAGGCCTTTAGGTGGTCTTTAGAGACAGCCCTTCGGCTGGTCTATAGAGAAAGCCCTTCAGCTGGTCTATAGAGACAGGCCTTCAGCTGGTCTATAGAGACAGGCCTTCAGCTGGTCTATAGAGACAGGCCTTCAGCTGGTCTATAGAGACAGGCCTTTAGCTGGTCTATAGAGAGAGCCCTTCAGCTGGTCTATAGAGAGAGCCCTTCAGCTGGTCTATAGAGACAGGCCTTCACCTGGTCTATAGAGAGAGGCCTTCACCTGGTCTATAGAGACAGCTCTTCAGCTGGTCTATAGAGACAGGCCTTCACCTGGTCTATAGAGAGAGGCCTTCACCTGGTCTATAGAGACAGCTCTTCAGCTGGTCTATAGAGACAGGCCTTCACCTGGTCTATAGAGACAGGCCTTTAGCTGGTCTATAGAGAAAGCCCTTCAGCTGGTCTATAGAGACAGGCCTTCACCTGGTCTATAGAGACAGGCCTTCAGCTGGTCTATAGAGACAGGCCTTCAGCTGGTCTATAGAGACAGGCCTTCAGCTGGTCTATAGAGACAGGCCTTTAGCTGGTCTATAGAGAGAGCCCTTCAGCTGGTCTATAAAGACAGGCCTTTAGCTGGTCTATAAAGACAGGCCTTCAGCTGGTCTATAGAGACGATCTGGCCTTCAGCTCGTCTATAGAGACGATCTGGCCTTCAGCTCGTCTATAGAGACGATCTGGCCTTCAGCTCGTCTATAGAGACGATCTGGCCTTCAGCTCGTCTATGGAGACGATCTGGCCTTCAGCTCGTCTATGGAGACGATTTGGCCTTCAGCTCGTCTATGGAGACGATTTGGCCTTCAGCTCGTCTATGGAGACGATTTGGCCTTCAGCTCGTCTATGGAGACGATTTGGCCTTCAGCTCGTCTATGGAGACGATTTGGCCTTCAGCTCGTCTATGGAGTCGATCTGGCCTTCAGCTTGTCCATGGAGACGATATGGCCTTCAGCTCGTCTATAGAGACGATCTGGCCTTCAGCTCGTCTATAGAGACGATCTGGCCTTCAGCTCGTCTATAGAGACGATCTGGCCTTCAGCTCGTCTATAGAGACGATCTGACCTTCAGCTCGTCTATAGAGATGATCTGGCCTTCAGCTCGTCTATAGAGACGATCTGGCCTTCAGCTCGTCTATAGTGACGATCTGGCCTTCAGCTCGTCTATAGTGACGATCTGGCCTTCAGCTCGTCTATGGAGACTTCCTGAGTCTTCAGCTTGTCTATGGCGACGATCTGGCCTTCAGTTCGTCTAATGCGACGATCTGCCCCTCAGCTTGTCTATGGAGACTTCCTGAGGCTTCAGCTCGTTTATGGAGACGATCTGGCCTTCAGCACATCTATAGAGACTCCCTGAGGCTTCAGCTCGTCTATGGAGACGATCTAGCCTTCAGCTCGTCAATGGAGACGATCTGGCCTTCAGCTTGCCTATAGAGACTCCCTGAGGCTTCAGCTCGTCTATAGAGACGATCAACTTGTCTTAAAAGAGGCCCTACAGCTTGTTCAGTTGGAGAGAATTCTTCTAGGTGGTCTGAAAAGACTCTTCAGCTGTTCTGAAGAGACTCCCTCCAACTGGTCTGAAGAGAGTCCCTCTAGCTCGTCTGAAGAGACTCCCTCTAGCTTGTCTGAAATAACTCCATTCAGCTCGCCTCTAACTCACCTTTATGACCCCTCCAACCCATCCGAAACAACATCCTTCGATATTTGAATATTCTAGTCCTAAAGTTTTTAGTACCTCTTTGGGTACGATTTTTCAAAAACTCCGCTTTATTGCCCATCCACTCTCCAAATGCTTCTTAAATGTCAAGTTTTAGGTTACTCTGAGAATAATTCTATTACAACTTATCCTTCGCCCCCTAATTTTTGCTTAACTAACAAACTTTCTCTCATTTCTCATTTCATTTCAGATGAAGACGCACTACCAGACACTAAGGAAAATACAAATCCCCTTAAAGAAAATCTAAAGACTTCCAATGATGTTGTAGATGGTTGTCCTGTCAAGGATTCAAACGCAGACCAAACACCCATAAAGAAAAGCAATAAAAACAACAGTGACGTCAAAACCAAATCCCTCCATGATCAAGCAACCGATACAGGAATCAACAACACCAACAATAGCAATCTAAGTAGACACGAAAGATCTAATGGCACAGCAGTAGAAAATTCGGAAAGAAAGGAAGTTGCCAAAGAAGAAGAAGACTTCCCCAGCACAAATTTTTCATCGTCAGTATCCTTAGCACAACAGAGGTTAACAAATACCGATAACAACAACAACAATAACAGCAACAAAAGCAGAAACGACAACAATCCATCATCGCAGTCGCCAGCAACAGCCGCAGCAACTGCGAATAGCCCAGGTTCCCAGACGACAGTTATGAATAGTCACGCAACGGCCACACAAAACGGCGGACAAACAACAATCGTTGGTCATCATCGCGGTTTCTCCCAGCCAACGGTAACGGTGGCAACATCGAGCACGGGCGGTGATCCATGGTTTTTGCAATCAACCGGGCATCAGATGCCACCAACGGCCCCATTGCGTCATAATAAACGTCCAGCACCGCAGCCGGTAACGGCGGCTGCTGGTGGACCCAACAATCCAAATAGTTTGCTAGCCAATAACAGTGTAAGTGGTGGTATAGGCGGGGGTGGTGGCAGCATTGGTAATATCGGCGGCGGTGGTGTTGGCGGCCTAGCCGGCATTGGTGTCGGTGTTGGTGGTGTTCCCATCATCGCCAGCAATATCACATTGCAACAGCAATTTAGCCAATCCCAACCCCATATTGTAGCACAATCAGGCAATTTATCATCAGCGTCATCTCATCATAACAATGTGGTAATACATGTAAAAATACACACACATACACATACATGACATTATTTTGTTGTAGAGAAGGGAGAAGGGTATTCTCTTTTCTATTTTTCAAGAGCAATGGAATGTTTTCTTTTCCATGAGGAATTGTGAAAGGATTTCTTTGTATGGAAAGGTTCCTATGGAGGATCTTTTGTGAAAAGAAGAAAGCCATCTATAACTAAACTTTAGGCCTGAACCATCTGTAAAGACCAATATTTAATTGGAAAAATATTGGAGACTATAAATACCTTCTCAAGTCGTCTATAAAAAGACACCTTTTCCAGAACGTCAGTAAATACTCTCTTCTCAGCTTGTCCATAAAGAGACTTTATGCCATCAGCTCATCTATAGAAAGAGACCCCGTCTTCAGTTGGTCTCTCGTCTCAAAAAGACTCCCTGGCATTAGTTCGTCTCTAAAAGTCTACTCGGTTCGTCTCTAAATGACTCTCCGGCTTCATAAAAACCGTCCGTTCGTCTTTATAAAAACCCCCTGGTTTAGTTTGTCTCTAAAATATTCCCAGGCTTCTGTTTCTCTCTAAGGAACTCCCTACCTATCAGCTCGTCTATAGAAACGCCTGGCCATCAGCTTGTCTAAAGAGATTCCCTGGCCATTAGCTCGTCTATAGAGATTCTCTGTCTATCAGATTGTCTATAAAGACTCCCTGACATCAGCTCGTCTATGAAGAGTATTCAGATTCTATTCTCCTATCGTCTTTCTTTCCTGGCCGTCTATAAGGACTCCTTCCTGGCCGTCTATAAAGGCTCCCTCTAACTCGTCTATACAGACTCCCTTAGCTTGCCCATAAAGGCTCAACTCGCCTGTAAAGACTCCCTCGCCTCGTCTATAAAGACTCCCTCCAGATCGCCAATAAAGACTCCTTCCAGGCCGTCTATAAAGATTCCCTCCAGATCGCCTATAAAGACTCCCACTAGGTCATCTGTAAATACTCCCTCCTGGCCGTCTACAAAAAACCCCTCCAGGTCGTCTATATAGACTCCCCCAGGGCGTTTGTAAAGACTCCCTCCTGACTACCTAAAATAAACAATCTCAGAGTCGTCTATAAAGATTTCCTCCGGACCATCTAAAAACACCTCTTCAGGATTGTCTATAAAAACTCCCTCTGCGTCGTCTGCAAAAAGTACCTCCAGGCCACCTATAAATGTTCCCTCCAGACCGTCGATAAAGACATCCTCAGACCGTCTATAAAGACCCCCTTCAGGTTGTCTATCAAGACTCTCGCTAGCTCTCGCCTGTGAAGACTCCCTCAGCTTGTCTATAAAGACTCCTTCTAGGCCGTCTATAGAGACCCCTTTTAGGTCGTCAATAAAGACTCCCACCAGGTCATCTGTAAATACTCTCTCCAGGTCGTCTATAAAGACTCCCCCAGGTCGTTTGTAAAGACTCCCTCCAGGCCACCTAAAATAAAAAACCTCAGAGTCGTCTATAAAGACTTCCTCCGGACCATCTATAAAGACTCCCTCAGGGTTCTCTATAAAACTACATCGTCTAAAAAACTACCTCCAGGACGTCTATAAAGGCTCCCTCCAGGCCACCTATAAATGCTCCCTCCAGACCTCTATAAAGACATCCTCCAGACCGTCTATAAAGACACCATTCAGGTCGTCTACCAAGACTCTCACTAGCTCGTCCATAAAGATTCCCCCATGCTGTCTATAAAGACTCCCTCCAGACCGTCTATAAAGATTCCCCCAGGCAGTCAATAAAAAATCCCTCTAGGCTGTCTATGAAGACTCCTTCCAGGTCGTCTATAAAGGCTCCTCCCAGGTTGTCTATAAAGACCCCCTCAAGGTCGTCGATTAAAACTCCCTCTAGGCCGTCTATAAACGCTCCCCCAGGCAGTCCGTAAAGAATCCCTCCAGTTCGTCTATAACGACCCCTCCATGTCGCCTGTAAATACTCCCTCCAGGTTGTATGTAGTCTCCCACCAACTCGTCTGTAAAGTTTCCCTTCAATTCGTCTGTAAAGACTCTCCAGGCCGTCTATAAAAATTCGCTCCAAGCTATATACAAAGTCTCCAAAGTCGCCGTTTATAAAAACTCCCTCCAGGCTGTCTATAAAGACTACCTTTTGGTCGTCTATAAAAACCCTCGTCAGGTCGTCTATAGAGACTTTCTTCAGCTCGTCTATAAAAAAAATCCCCCAGGCTGTCCATGAAGACTTTCTCCAAGCTGTCTATAAAGACTCCCCCCAGGTCTCTATGAAGACTCAATTCAGGTGGTCTATACATTCTCCCTCCAGGTTATCTATAAAGACTTCCCCCAGGCCGTCTGTAGAGACTATCTTCTCAGCTCTTCCAATAAAGAGAGCTTTCCCTGCATATCTCGAAAGATTCCTCACACCTCGTTTGTAAAGACTACCTTCCATCTTCTCTACAAAGACTCCCTGCTTAGCTAATCAAAATAGATTCCTTTGGCTGATCGTCTATTAAAACTTTCTTCCATTCTTCCTAAATATCCCTTCCGCAAGTCCATAAAAACTCTTTTCTGTCCTTCCTTTGGGTCAATATCCACAATTCATGCCCATTCTCATTCATTCCTAATTAAAGAAAGAAAGATTCCCTCCAAGTTGCCTGTAAAGACTCCTTTCAGCTTCTCTACAAAAACTCCATTCCCAGCTCGTCCATATAGATTCTCTTTGCAGATCGTCCATTAAAACTTCCATTCGCTCGACTATAAATATCCCTTCCCCAATTCTATAAAGACTCTCTTCTGTCTTTCTCTCAAGACCTTTGGGTCAATAAACACAATTCATGCCCATCCTCATTCATTCCTATTAACCTTCCGCACCCCCTCTGCACTCTTTCTCTACAAATTTTCAAATCCCATTGACAATTTTTTAATAATTTTATCATTGCTATTTTTTCTAATTTTTAGAATCAACATCACAATGCGATTCACTTGTCCTCGCATGCACTTAATAGTCATATAACAAATGCAACAGGTGTTGCTGGAGGCGGAGGAGGCAGCACTATTCTGGCTGGTGGTGGTATTATAAATGCCGCTGCCAATCATTCACCCAAATCGCCAAATCAACATCCACAGCAGCAGCAGCAACAATCCCACAGTTTAATGTCAACATTTACTCCCATTGTCGGTTCCGCGTCGACGGCATCGTCTGTTACGGCCGCCGCAGTGGCCAGTGTCACCCAGCAGCAACAACAACAGCATATGCAATTATTAAATGCCGCAGCAGCGGCCAATAATTGCAACAATAATCTGATGTCGTCTTCATTGAATGCTGCCCACAGCACTGGCATGTCACTGCACGAACGTGGCCTACCACCCAAAGGTATGGGTCTAACAGCAAATGCCGGCGGTGGTAGCAATATGTTACTTCATACACAACACCCCGCCCAGCAACAGCAACAACAACAGCAGCAGCATCATCATCCCAATCAAACGTCGTCATTGGTCATAAATCCGGCGGGAGCCAATGTCGGAGCAGGTGGTTCGGCTATGACGACATCATTGCATAGTTTTGACATAAATGGTGCAGCAGTTGTTGGCGGTAATCCCGTTGGTGTTGGCGCCCAGACATGGGCAACCCCCTCCCTATCACCGACATCGGGCATGGCGCCCAATCATCATGTTGGCCAACAGCAACCGCACAAAAAATGTGAGGTTAAATTGAATGCAATGCCGTAAGTAGAGAGATAATGTTCTGTTAATGTTTAAATTCATTTGATTTTAATTTTAATTCTATTTTTGCAGTTGGTTCCATGGCAGCATTACCCGTGACGAGGCCGAACACTTGCTACAGCCCCGCGAGGATGGCCTGTTTCTAGTGCGAGAATCGACCAACTTCCCTGGTGACTATACGCTCTGTGTATGCTTCCAGGGTAAGGTGGAGCATTATCGTGTGAAATATTTGGAAAATAAGCTAACCATTGACGATGAAGAATATTTTGAAAATTTGGGTCAGCTTGTAGCGGTAAGTAAGCGATGCAAACTCATCTTTTCACTCGTCTGCAAACGAAGAGAAGAAGAGAGACGGCCTTTCTTCCAGTTCATAAATAAGACCTTGAGCCTGGCTCTAGAGACAACATTCTGTCAGTCCATAGATATTACCTTCAGCTCGTTTGCTCGTCTGCAAACGAAGAGAAGAAGAGAGACGACCTTTTGTAATTTTATAAAGACGACCTTGAGCCAGACTCTCACTTCAGGCCGTATATAAAGGCTTACTTCAGGTCATCTGTAGACACTTCCTCCTGGTCGTCTATAAAGATTTCCTCCAGGCCGTCTATTAAGCCTCGGTCCAGGTCATATATGAAGACTCCCTCTCGATCTGTCGTCTATAAAGCCTTCCTTCAGCCCACTTATAAAGACTCCCTCTAGGACGTTTATAAAGACTCGCTCCAGGTCATTTCTAAAGACACCATCCAGGCTGTCTATAAAAACTCCCTCCAGCACGCCTATAAAAATTCCCTCAGGTCGTCTATAAAAACTCTCCAGGACGTCTAAAAAGACCCGTCTGACCTTCTGCCATTTTATAAAGACGGCCTTTAGCTCGTCTATAGAGTCAATCTGACCTTCAGCTCGTCTATGGAGACGATCTGGCCTTCAGCTCTTCTATAGAGACGATCTGGCCTTCAGCTCGTCTATAGAGACGATCTGGCCTTTAGCTCGTCTATAGAGACGATCTGGCCTTTAGCTCGTCTATAGAGACGAACACTTGCTACAGCCCCGCGAAGATGGCCTGTTTCTATTGCGAGAATCGACCAACTTCCCTGGTGACTATACGCTCTGTGTATGCTTCCAGGGCAAAGTGGAACATTATCGCGTGAAATATTTGGAAAATAAGCCAACCATTGACGATGAAGAATATTTTGAAAATTTGGGTCAGCTAGTAGCGGTAAGTAAGAGATGAAAACTCAAACTTTTGCTCGTCTGCAAACGAAGGGAAGAAGAGTTTATAAAGACGACCTTGAGCCAGGCTCTTGAGACAACATTCAGTCAATCCATAGAGACTGCCTTCAGCTCGTTTGCTCGTCTGCAAACGAAGAGAAGAAAAGAGACGACCTTTTGTCATTTTACGAAGACGAACTTGAGCCAGACTCTCACTTCAGGCGGGGTATATAAAGGCTTACTTCAGGTCATCTGTAAACACTTTCTCCTGGTCTTCTATAAAGATTTCCTCCAGGCCGTCTATTAAGCCTCGGTCCAGGTCATATACGAAGACTCCCTCTAGATCGTCTATAAAGACTCGATCTGTCGTCAATAAAGCGTCCCTCCGGGCCATTTATAAAGGCTCTCTCTAGGATGTCTATATAGACTCGCTCCAGGCCATTTATAAAGACACCATCCAGGCTATCTATGAATACTCCCTCCAGGACGCCTATAAAGGCTCCCTCCAGGTCGTCTATAAAAACTCTTCAGGCCGTCTAAAAAGATCCCCTCAGGGTTGTTTATAAAGACTACCTCCAGGTCGTCTATAACTACTCAGGGGCGTCTAAAAAGACTTTGACCTTGAGCCAGACTCTAGAGACGGCCTTGAGCTCGTCTCGTTTATAGAGACGGCCTTCACAGCTCATCTATAGAGACGGCCTTCACAGCTCATCTATAGAGACGGCCTTCAGCTCGTCTATAGAGACGGCCTTCAGCTCGTCTATAGAGACGGCCTTCAGCTCGTCTATAGAGACGGCCTTCAGCTCGTCTATAGAGACGACCTTCAGCTTGTCTATAGAGACGGCCTTCAGCCCGTCTATAGAGACGGCCTTCAGCTCTTCTATAGAGACGGCCTTCTAGCCTTCAGCTCGTCTATGGAGACAATCTAGCCTTCAGCTCGTCTATGGAGACGATCTAACCTTTAGCTCGTCTATGGAGACGACCGAAAGCTCGTCTGTAAAGACTCCCTTTTGTTTGTCTATAAAACACCTTTTCGCTTGTCTGTAAGGCCTCTCTCGTCTGTAAATACTCCCTTTCGCTCATCTATATGGGCTCTTTAAACCATAGCTCTTCTTAATACATTCCCATTCCCACCATTTCCATATATATAATCCTTTATTCGGTTCTTTATGCATAAATTATATTCTTTTCTTGACTTCTTTTCCTCTTTCCCCCTATAGCACTATGAAGCCGATGCCGATGGTCTGTGTACACAACTGGTAAAATGTTTACCCAAACAGGGTAAACAGGAATACTGCATCAATTCGAAAGATTTCATTGACAAAGGTTGGGTTATACCCGAATCGGATTTACAATTACGCGAGAGCATAGGCAAGGGTGAATTTGGTGATGTTATGTTGGGCATACTGCGCAATGAAAAGGTGGCTGTAAAAATGCTTAAAGACGAGGGAGCTGTACAGAAATTCTTAGCAGAGGCTTCAGTTATGACGTGAGTATTTTCCAATCTGAAAGTATTTGAAACAACTTTAAATAATGTTCTCTCTTGCGATTTCACAGAACACTGGAACATGAAAATCTAGTGAAGTTCATTGGTTTAGTCTTTACTAGTAAACATCTGTATTTGGTTACGGAATATATGAGCAAAGGATCACTGGTTGATTATCTAAGATCGCGGGGACGACAGCATATAACTAAAAAGGATCAAATCAATTTTGCTTAGTAAGTGTGGAATTGATCCCAATATTCTGTGGGCTATATATAACAAAAACTGATTTCATATTTTAGTGACACGGCTTCTGGTATGGAATATTTGGAAGCGAAAAAGGTTGTTCATCGTGATTTGGCTGCCCGTAATGTTCTCATTTCGGAAGATTGCGTTGCCAAGGTATCCGATTTTGGTTTGGCCCGTGAAGAATGCTATAATCTGGATGTCGGGAAATTGCCAATTAAATGGACTGCCCCCGAGGCATTGAAAAATTGGGTAGGTTCTACGATTTGTGTTGAATTTGTATGTTAAATTAATTGTTTTAAAATTTCTTTTCTTCCAGCGTTTCTCTAATAAATCCGATATGTGGAGTTTTGGCATTTTATTATGGGAAATTTATTCATTTGGTCGTGTTCCTTATCCTAGAATTGTAAGTATTACAAGTTTTCTTTTTGAAAAAAGTATATCTTTAAAATATAGAAAAATCTGTTGAAATTCTTAATGTGGAAGAAATGTTGGTATTTTAAAAGCGCTGGCCCTTATCTATATAGACTCCATATTCAATGGATATAAAGAATCCCTATTCTCAATACTTCACTGAAATTATAAGGATTAGAATTTTTTCCAAAAAATGGTTAAAACTCCATTTTAACGCAACGTATTCTGCAAACTTATTTGTCATAAAATTCTACTATACGTCAAAATTCCGAATCGTACATAAACTTCAGGAATTTATAAGTATTAAAAACACATTTTAGAGGTTAAGCCATACTTATGTGAGTTTGGGTAAAATTCTTCTTAAAAACGTCATTTTAGAAGGATAATACCGAAGACAAAAATATTTTATATTAAATTTCCCTGAAGTTCACCAATGAAAAGAAATCCCTATATCCATTATATATCACGAAAATATTGGTTTAAATTAAAAAAAAAAAAAAAACACAGAAATATTTTATATTTCTTTTCATCGGTATTTTTTCAAATTGAGGGCTGAAAGTAAAATAAGACTTGGTTTTATACAGAAAATATCAAAACACAAAATTTCACTCTGAGTCACCAAAGTGAAGAACCCTTCCTTCCCTTCCATTATATTTTACGAGAATACTTCATTCATTTTTGCCAATTAAAAACACGAAAATAATTCTTATTCATTTTCATGGATACTTCTTTGGTTTAAACAGAAAGTGTCAAAGGATAAAATACTAAACAAATTTCACTATAAGTCACTAAGGAAAAGAAGTGTCTATTTCTAATATATACAACAAAATACTGGTGTCAATGTTGCCAAATTAAAAAAAATATATATATAAAATTTGATTTTTGGGTTAAAGTGTCAAAAGAAGAAATAATCCCCATCAAATTTCACTATAAGTCATCAAAGAACATAAATCCCTATTTCCATTATATATGTAGAAAATACTTGCGTCGAATTTGCAAAAAAATTGATGGATTTTTCTACGATCTATTTTCAAGCTGATGCATGAAAGTATCCTAAAATTTAGTTTTAGACAGAAAGTGCCAAAGGAGGAAATATTCCACAGCAAATTTCACTATAAATCTCAGAATAAACCATATATCTGGGTATAATAGTTTTTGAGAAAATTACATTCGAAGTTTATGTATTAAAGTGGAAATTATTTGCCGCAGTTTTTGTTTATGGATTTAATTCGGTTCAAATCGGAGTCCAAATCTACTCAATAAAAAAAGCCATAGACCTGTTGGTCACGAGGAACAACAAGGTTAGTAGTCCTTTGACTATATACGTCGATAGTCAAGCGGCACTGAAAGCCCTAAACGTCTCTAACATTAAGTCTAAAGTTGTTTGGGACTGCAGGAGATCCTCGAAAAACACTTGGTTGTCTATCAAGCTCTGTTGGGTTCCTGGTCATTACAATATTCCAGACAACGAGACTGCAGACGGAGTGGCTAGGCTAGGGTCCGAATCAGCTAACATTGAAGTTGAGAATTCGGTCAAACCACCCCTATGCCACTTCCTACAGGTAATTCATAGACACTACTCTGAGAGAATTCAACAAAAATGGCAGGAAGAAAGGGGGTGCAACATCTCCAAAAGAATCTGACCAACGCTCTCGGAGAAGGGAACAAAGTCGCTACTGTCCTGGTTGATACCTGTTTTTAAACTTTTCTCTGCCACTGTCCAGCACTCATTAACATGAGGCACAGGTTGGTGGGGAAACAAGTGGCACATGATTTGTCTTCGTTCTCTAACACTGGCCCTACAGTAATACATCAATTATCCCGAAGACTTAAGTGGTTAAAGACAACACGGCAAGATTTCTAGCCGTGTATCACCCTTATAACTATATATCCTATCAGTAATAATTCCACTTTTTTTCGCCATTATTTATTTCTTAAAATTGTACTGTAAACAGCCAGTCTGCGGGTTTGTAAAATCCAGGATATTCAGTTTGTAAATCAAACCAAAAGAGTTTTGGTTTCCCAAATTAAAATGTCGATCTACTCTTTGGTATAGCCCCTATATAGTAGGTTTGGACTCTGATTTCAATTATTTTTTAGGTTGAAGTCAGGACTTTTATAAGGTCGAACAAGAAGACCACTTTTAGCAACAATGTGGCAATAAACATAGCAGTTTTTGCACCATTTTGATTAGACTTTCTTTCAATTTCAAATAGCAATTATATTTTTGACAGCAAAGTTAGCAGCCAAATGGGCCTACTGGCCGATCTTATATAGGCCTTGGTTTAAGTAATATTTTTGGTATAGCCGCCATATAACGGTACCTCCCGATATCCGGGTTTTTGATGATTTTCGCCACATGTATTCACGGATTTGTCTAAAAATTGGTATTTGTATGTCATAATGGATTTTTAGCTCCGGTGGCAGAACATTGAATATTTAGGTCCACGTTTTCCTCAAAACGATATCCTCCTACATTCTGTATTTTGATAAACCTAGTCACATTTACCCACGAAATTGTTTCAAATTTGTTATTTAAGAAGATATGGTAGATGACAATCCTTGAAGTATAAACTAGTCTAGAGACTTTCCTTATTTGATATGGCCCCTCTATTTAACGACCTCACCCACTTTATGGTTTTTTGAAAAGTTTAACACCATTATCCTACGGTCTTACTGGTATTTGTAGTTTAAAGTGGAAAACGTTTGAACTCAGATTCTTTTATATAAAAATGTTTTATTTAGTCAATGGTGGAGGGTATTAAAAGTTCGTCCCGGCCGAACTTAATGTTTTTTACTTGTTTTAGCAACATTCATTTTCATTCTCGAAATACTGAATATTATTTCCTGTTTCTTCTTTCATTTCAGCCATTAACCGATGTTGTGAAACACGTTGAAGTCGGCTATAAAATGGAAGCTCCCGAGGGTTGTCCTCCCGAGATCTATGAAATGATGAGACAAGCCTGGGACCTTAATCCTGCCAAACGACCCACATTTGCTGAACTAAAAGTGAAACTTTTACATTTGAAAAATAATACGGCGTGAAAGATGAGTTATTGCCAATAGCGTAAAAGCAACTACTACAACAACAACAACACCACTACCACCTTTTAAGAAAATAAAGAGATAGCGACAACCAATCCCTGCAGCAGCTGTTACAATTTAAAAGTATAATAAATATTATTATAATGACACACAGATACACTTAACGAAAATATGATAACAACATACTAAGTAGAGATTGCAACAACAACAAGAAGAATTAAAATCTAAAAAACAAAACACCATTTATATATATAAACATAAAAAACATGCATATATATATATACCTAACTAAGGATATACAAATCAGTTTTCTTTCTCGAGACAGAGAGAAAGAGAAAAAAACAACAACGTGAAAAGTGAATGTGTATTTACAGCAACAACTATTTAACAGAAAAGGAAAAGAAAAGTATATATTACAACAACAATAATAATTATAATAATATTAATAATTAATTAATTATTCTTTATATTATTACTAAGAAAAAACAATATAAATAATTATAACAATATAAATAACAGCAACAACAAGTAAAATAATAATCATAATTAATAATAATTTAATATTAAGATCAAACAACAACAACAACATGAAAAAATGTTATGTAAAAACCCAACAGCAACAACATTATAACTAATAATCATTTATATATTATATAAATTAACATAAATACATCCCCCACCCCTATCCTATACCTCTCCACCTTTCTTAAAAGTTAATGATTTGAAAAAAAAAACAAACAGGCGGCTACATAAGGCAACTACTTAACTCAACAATAACAACCAATTTTAAATGTCTGTTTCTTTTTTTGTTTATTTTATTTTTTGTTTTAATAAAACAATGCCAACAACAACAATACCTAAAAAACAAAAAGCCCCTCCAAATTTCTTTTTTTCGAAGGAGAAATCAAAACAAACTATACCACAAACAAACAAACAGCCACACTTATTTAAACACACAATTTTCCTTTAGATGTAAGCTTAAGCTTAAAGAGAACAACAGCAACAATAACACAAAACAAAAAACAATCTTAAATGTTCACACTCTATGTTATTTATACAAAAGAAAAAATACTAAAATCCTATTTTGTTAAAAAGCCAGTCGCGTTATGGAACCACATTTTGTTTCTTCTTTTGCAACCTTCTAGACTTTTTGGACAACATGGCCACTTCCTTTGAACGTTAAGAATGAAGGAGATTGATTCGAAATTATCCAGCTAAAAGTATATTGTTAGCCCAGACCACTTTCTCATAAATCTGTAAACAAAAGGGAAAGTTTATGGAAAAGAAAAGCAAGTTTCATTGAAAAGATAGAAGTTAATAGAGGTAAACGTCACATATAATTCAGCCCTCTCTCTCTCTCTCTCTATTTACAAAATATTTACTTTCCTTTCCCGCAAACTTTACTCAAGCAGCGTACGCCAGCGAAATATTAAATTTAAAATGCACACATTTGACTGCAACAGGTCAAACATAAAATAGGGGTAAAATTCATTCTGAAATACCACTGAAGAAATTATGGCATTCCTCTGGCATTCCTTTAAGATATGTCACAAAAATATGCCATGTGAAGACTTCAAGCTGCTTGTGTACGCACTCCTTAATTTATATATGTGAAATTCGATAGTAGACATTAGGGCTGTTCCAGAACCTGCCAGAATCTACTAGTTGCAATTTCTTTTTCGATATCATAAAGGGAAAATCTGTTATCATAGTAAAAACTTTTACATTCTTGCAGTTCTGGAGCAGACCAATTTTGAAACTAAAAAATATGCATAATAAGCCCCGAAAACTGTTATCGATATAGGGTTCATCATTAAGTAAGCAGATTTAAATTATAACCTACACACCATATGTTGGAGGTATAATATTATGGACCAAAAAGTTTGTAACACCATGGTCCTAGACCCATGATGTTATAGATCAATCTTCCTATATATATAGCCGAGTTAAATTGATCTAGTTATGCATGTCCGCCCTTCTGCCCATGTTAGTTTTTAATCACGCTGCAGATCGCAATTATGTTCCGATTCTCACAAAGTTTTGCATAGAGTTTGGGTCAGTTTGAAATAAGAAGCCTATTGTTTTTGGTGATTGTCGCAAAATATTAATGAATTAGTTAGTTGGGATGTCCACCTTAGATAGATGTCTCCTTTAGAGAATCCACTTGATAACCTCAATTATATGATACCCTTTTTCATACCCATCTCATTTAATTTTTCCATCTAAGCCTTTAGGAGAGATGGTGGTGGCGGCACCATGCCAATTAATATCATGTCATCTTATTTTTGTCGCTATGTTTTCCGGTGATACGTATAAACACACCGCCTTTACTGGATCTTCATGGCAGCCAGCAGTCCAGCATCGTTGCGATCTTTATAGATCTACTCATTTTTGTCCTTTTCCTTGTGAATTTGTATTTGATACATAAAGTGGACTTCCAGTCGACCTTGACGAGCCCTCTCATGCATTTGTATCAAACGAATAGCTTCCATTTCGATTTTTTGTTCCACAACTGGATTCTCCTCCACCATTCCAGCTTCTCAAAGATTTCTGTAATTATTGGATATTATAATGCCAGCGATGGATATTTTCTTCCATTCCTTGTGAATGCCAGGAATAGATCCATAATAAAATTAAGATATAGATCTACTCATTTTTACCCTTGTTAATTTGTTTTTCATTAATAAAGTGGACTTTCAGTCGACCTTGACGAACCCTCTCTTGCATTTGTATCAAACGTAAAGCTTTCATTTCGATTTTTTGTTCCACAACTGGATTCTCCTCCACCATTCCAGCTTCACAAAGATTTCATGCCAGCGATGGATATTTTCTTCCATTCCTTGAGAATACCAGGAATAGATCCATGTTAAAATTAAGAAGGTAAAGTCATTTCAAATAAGCATATCCATCCCTGAATTTTCTGTAATTTACCTTGTCAAATTTCGCTGAATAAAAAAGGGGATTCCATCTTTGATTTCTGGGTATCCAATGGATTTATAAATATATAAATTTTGACAAGGAGATGTTGTCAGACGAATAATTTTGAAAAAATGTATGACTTTACCTTCTTAATTCTACCATGAATGGATCTTTGCGTTATAGAAAAGCCTGAGGTGTTATTTTTGCTGAATGAAAGGCGGGAGTGTCCTTCTCTGTTTAAAACATTATTATGCGTTCAAAATTTGCAGAAAAGGACTCTTCTGAATTACTGTGCGACGTGTTGAACAGACAAATATCCTACAGTTTATGTTATCCTACAGAAAATTGTTCCACAATAAAAGAGAAGTGAAAATTAAGTGATGACAACAAAAGTTCGGGAATAATCAATTAATCATCCTGAACGTAGTTGGGCCAAAAATATCCTGGTTTGCCTAGGCAGCCGACGTTCTTCAGCTGTAATGGAGGGGGAGGGGGGTGGACTCCAAGGATGGCATTCATACTGTAATTATTTACTACCTCTGCGACTGCATCAGTATGAATGCTATTCAGACCCGCTTGATAGGCTTCATGATCTAGGGGCTCTCTCTGATATCGCTGGACCTCTCTCTCTCTGTAGATCATGCAGGTCCTTCCTAAAACGCCCTGGGAGTTCTGTCCATCATATGGTGGTTAGGACGACTCCCACGATAACACGATTATGCTGACGTAAGAGAAGAACTTTTTGTTGTTGTTGCAAAATGGTCAGGCTTAATCCCTAATAGAAGAACCTTCGTCTCCTGGTTGTAAATGGTTCACAGGCACCCTGTTGCAGTTCTCAGTGGCGGCATTCTGGCAGGTCTGAATACTTTTTTACTCCGTTGCACTTGTATTCGCAGATCACACTGTAGCGACATAGCTATCCACAGACCGACATATCATCGTCAACAACGTTTCCTTATCCGCGCCCCAAGTACTGCCGGCTAGCGCCTTGCGGATTAGTTGCACAATTGGGAGCTCTTTGGTGAGAGAGGTGAGAGGGAGTATGTCAAATGTTCCTCAACTCTCCTAACCAGCAAACTGACAAATGCAGTAACTGACAATGCACTTCCTCAAAACGACCACCTTTTGTTTTTTTTTCAATTCGCCAGACAAGCAACATCTATGGCCACCAGATTCATGATTTTTTTTAGCAAATACTTGCGCCTGAAATTGTTGTTCAATACATGGGAGAGTATTCCATAATCAGGCTTTAAATTTCCTTCGGTATAAAAGTCCCTAGATGATCAACATATATAGTCACCAGATCCATGGAATTTAAGACCGCAACGATTAACGCATTGAAATTGTATGTGGACATGCAGGTTTGAATTTCTCTTTAGAGATCCTTCGTTATAGATTTCAGCCGTTCTGAGTCCAGGCGTCCCTGTTATGTGGCAGTTCTTTTAGGAAATCCCAATTTCTAAGAATGGTATCATGTTCATATGCTCAACTTTAACTCCTTGCGCATCAGCGTACTTCTTGATGTCCGTTCCACTACAAAGATACATAATTGCCTTGATCCTAGTACTGCGTCCGGGGCAGCTTTTGGAGCACTCTCAATTTATGCAGCTTTCTGGACTCTGTCTCTGCGGCTGTGCCTATAGTACTTAGAGAGGAATTAAACCGCATTGGAAAGATTGTAGTACAGAACACTTCGTATCGTACATCTTGGTGTCTGTTCCACTACAAAGTTACATAATTGGCTTAGTTCTAGTACGGTGTCCGGGGCAGCTTTTGGAGCACTCTCAATTTATGCATCTTTCTGGACTCTGTCTCCCCGGCTGAGCCCATTGCACTTAATGAGGAATTAAACCGATTTGGAATAATTCTCGTACGGTGTCCGGCGCAGCTTTTGGAGTACTCTCAATTTATGCAGCTTTCTGACCTCTGTCTCTCCCTATATTACTGGGAGAAAATTAAACCGAAAACTGAAAATTGACCCCAACTTTTTTTTTTTTTTTTTTTTGGATTGATTTAGGGCGAGCTTTGTTATCAAAGTTTATTTCAATAGATTTTTTGCGATTATATTCCCATCATGCAGTTCCGATCGGTGGCTTTGAATTGCCAGTTTTTTTTTTTTGTCTAGTGGTTGCTTTTTTAACACTTACCCCGGCTTTACAAAAATGTATACCCCCAGTCTTTGTTAACAAATTAAATAATTATTTTCCTTGACTGTAGAACACAATTGTATCCTTAATTAACGTACATACACACACACAAACAAAAATGAAATGCTAAAAAAAACGCAAAACAATGTGTTAATCTTTAGATTATTTTCCTAAATAAGATTTACAATAAAAAAATTAAAAAAAAATCAAATTTTTACTAAACTAATTGTACATTTCTTACATACTAAATTAATATATATTTATATATTAAAAAAACAATATTTGTAATTTGTATGTTTTATTATTTTTTCTTTTAACATTTAACATTTTTGTGTATCTAAGTTTAGAATCTCCCAATTTTAAATGCTTCAAGCTTCTTTTTAATAATTAATTAAACACACAAAAAACAAATAGCTCACACAGCCCTTTTACAAAAAATGTTGATTTTATTATATATATATTTATTTTGTTGTTAACATATTAATAACATAAAAAATTATATTTTCTATAATTATTATTATTATTATTTTTTATAGTTTTTAGGTATGTAAATTTAAGTTTTATTTTTATTTTTTTTTTTTTGCAAATTTTTTCTATTTTCCTCTTACTTTCATTCAACTTCTCTCTCTCACTATTTTTTTTAATAAATTTATATAAATATTAGCCAACACACACACAGTTATATATAGATTTTTTGATTTTAACCAAATACAAGATCCTTTTTTCTTTTCTTCTTCAAATTGAAAACCCAAAAAATCATCCTTTTCGTTTTCGATTTTGTTTTTCTAAATAAAAATAGAACCAATAAACAACAACCTACAATCTTTATATATATACATACATATATATATATATATATATATATATATATATATATATATATATATATATATATATATATATATATATATTATAAATAAATATATATAAAAAAATACATATATATATTTTATTTACATAGACGATTTCTACTTACAAAAAAAAAAAAAAACAAAAAACAAACAATAGAATACACCAAATCGAAGAAAACTAAAAACTACAACTACAACTTGTGTCCCCCTCCCCCACTCGTCCTGTTACTAGAAATTCAATGACAAGAGTCTTTTTGGCCACAGCATACAGACAAACAACATACATACATACAAACATACATATTAAACAAAAATATTTAATATTTTGATTGAAAATTTCACTTATTCGAGTTTTGAAAAAGAAATTATGGAACAAAATTGAAACAAAACAAAAAACAACTATTGTATGAAAAAAATACACACAACAAACAAAAACAACGTATTTGAATTAAATTAAATGACTTAAACATAAAACAAAATAAAAACAACAACAACAAGAAACAAAATAAAATATTAGTGTAAAACATAAAAAATAAATTATGTGGTTTTTCTTTATTTCTTGTTAATGTAAAGGAACTAAGGAGGGAGAAAGAAGGCAATTGGTTTCACTTGAGGATGTGTGAATAGGAACAATTGTAACTACCCGTAGCTTCTTTAGAGACGGGCTTCAGCTCGTCTATACAGGGTGAGGTAAAAAACTGCAAAAAAACAAACACCACAATTTTTACATTTTTCTTTAAATTTTATTGAATGAAAGCAAAATATGTCGGAAATAGCATCAAATTTTAGAATATGTTTAGATTTGTTCGAATTGGTTACCTTTGACACGAATTATGACCTTCAAACGACCAATGAAACGGTGACACGCTGCCCAAATGTTGCTCTGCGGTATTTTGGATCATTTCCGGCGAATCGATTGCTTGAGGTGATCGACACATTTTGATATTTTTAGTGCAAACCTTGCTTTCCAAAATGTTACAGACACAATAGTCCAACGGATTGGTATCCGTAGGTTTTGGTGGCCATTGGGCGCTGGAAATGAAGCGAGGAATCTCATTTTATAACCACTCTTGGGTGCCGGCGCGTGCTGAGTGCGATAGTGCTGAGTCCTGTTGGAATGTCCAAGATCTGCGGCCAAAATATTTGCGTACCCAAGGCTTTAATACACCTTTCACGATAAGATTTGACATTTATTCTGATGCCACGGACGATTAATTCTAGCGGAGAGCGACCATCGGCTGTTATGGCGGCCCACATTATCACCATGGCCGGCGCTTGAGTTCTTTTTTTTCCAACCGAAGGTGCACATTTTCAGCTGACCTCTTTGGCAAGTAAACACGATCATTTTGTTTATTTACAAACTGCTGGACAACGAATTCGGCAGTTCAGTTCAGATGGTTGCAGTTTTTTCATCTCGCCCTGTATAGAGCAACTGGGTTTCAGCTCGTCTTTATGGACTCACAGGGCCTCAGCTCATCTTTATGAACAAACTGGCCTACAGCTCGTCCTATATGGACTCACTGGGCCTCAGATCGTCTTTATCTCTCCGGCTCTCCGTTGAAACTGCCTGCCTTAACCCGGTTATAAAACTACTTTCTTCATAGCATCTCAAAGTATCCTTGCCTTCAAAATTTTGATTTTTCCCCATTAGACCAATACTTTTATTCCCCACCCCTTACCTCTCGATTTCCGCCCTTACATCTGGTAGACACATCGATTGCGATGGCTGCAGTCCAACGCTCTTTTCATCGGGATTTTCATTGACATTCAAGTCACCACTGCGTGCCGGCGACTTGGATTTGTCTTTGGTTTTACTTGACTCCTTTGAGGAACGAGCCGATGAACGACTTACTTCACTTTCTGTGTCAGGTCTACTAAAGATATGCAACGATCCACCCTGATCCTCCGTGGGAAAGTCTGGTAATTTTCCAGTTTTGTCATAGCAATCTTTAATCCATGCACGTATATAATCGGCTATGTCTTCGGTCATGCTGGGGCCATGTTTGGTTTTAATTTCTTCACGTACCCGGTCTAGGGTTGATTCATAGCTTTCTTGGAAGGCTTCTTGGGTGATATAGCGACGTTCGTAGATCTGAATGAAAAATAAGGAATATAGTGTTTATAAAAGGAGTTTTCCATCGAATCCTCATTTTCGTCCTTTTTACATTCTTTGTAAGCAACCGGTTTTTATACCCACCTCATTTAATTTCTCCACCTTTTCCGCCCGGGTCTTTAGGACCGACGGTGGTGGCGGCACCATGCCAATTTATATCATTTCATCCAATTTTCGTCGTCTGGTCTTACGACGATCCGTATAGTAGCCCAGAGCAGAGCATCATTGCGATCTTTATCCTTCTCCTCATTCTTGCACTTTTCCTTGGGCATACATATCTCCTTCATGAAATGGGCTCTCAAACGAACCTGGAAAGCCCTCTCATGCATTTGTATCAAACGAATTGCTTCGATTTCGGTTATTTGTTCCACCACCGGATTCTCCTTCGAACCGGAGCTCGCCTATAGAGACGACCTTCGGCTCGTTTTAGAGACAATCTTCGGCTAGTTTTTAGAGACGATCTTCGGCTCGTTTTTAGAGACGACTTTCGGCTCATTTTAAGAGACGACCTCCGGCTCATTTTAAGAGACGACCTCCGGCACGTCTATGGAGACGACCTCCGGCTCGTCTATAAGAGACGACCTCCGACGGCCTTCATTTATTCTCATACTTTTGATGCAGTTTAACAAAATTGTTCGCTCCCACAGGTGTGGTGAATATTTCCCATCACCAAAACCAGATGTTATTGTTATTTGCATGATCACAATAACCCCCGAAACCATGGCAACATGACACCCGCTCCATGCACTGCCAAACAAACACAACTGACATTCACAAGGAAACCGGTGGCGGAATAACACATCGGACGCCCACACTACAATGTCCAATAATTACTACAATGAAATTTGGCATTTGTCTCAACATGAACTCGAGCTACTGGCCATTGAAGATTTTCAGAGGCAAAATCAAGATGTTGAGACAACAATTGCCGCTCAAGGTGGAACGGATGCTGTCGTCAGCGATGAGACTACACGCAAAGCTATTGTTCAGGCCACCACCTATGAATTCTATTTGAAATATATTTGCATTGCCAATCGTCTGGAAGAGGTCTACGACAAGATGATACAACCCCAAAAACGCCAACTGATACGCAATATTTTAAATGGCTGTCTGGGTAGGATAATTGAGTTGAAACATGATTTGGTCAACATTGATCTGATGGAATTCAGTTACAATGATGCCGTGGTGGAGCGCCTCAAACTAACACCCATCGATACAGAGTTGAGGGTTCCAAGATATTTTCTGCGTGAGCGACGTCGGGAGATTGAACAACGCAACAAGACAATGCATGATATCCTTGTGAAGCTGGGATGGGTGGAGGAGAATCCGGTGGTGGAACAAATAACCGAAATCGAAGCAATTCGTTTGATACAAATGCATGAGAGAGCTCGTCAGGGTCGTCTGAGAGCGCATTTCATGAAGGAGATACGTATGCTCAAGGAAAAGGGCAAGAATGAGGAGAAGGATAAAGATCGCAATGATGCTGGACTCTTGGCTGCCATGAAAATACAGAAAATGTGGCGTGGCCATACGGATCGGCGTAAGACGAGGCGGCGGAAATTGGATGAAATGATATTAATTGGTATGGTGCCGCCACCACCGTCGGTCCTAAAGGCCCGGGCGGAGAAGGTGGAGAAATTAAATGAGGTGGGTATAAAATCTGGTTTGACGCTTACCAAGAATCTAAAGAGGGATCGAAATTGAGGAGATTAGTATTCATTCGATAGAGAACCGCTTTCATAAACTCTTTGTCCCTTACTTATTTTTTCAGATCTACGAACGTCGCTATGTCACCCAAGAAGCCTTCCAAGAAAGCTATGAATCAACTCTGGATCGGGTACGTGAAGAAATTAAAACCAAACATGGCCCTAGCATGACCGAAGACATAGCCGATGAGATACGTGCATGGATTAAAGATTGTTATGACAAAACTGGAAAACTACCAGAATTCCCCACGGAAGATCAGGGTGGATCGTTGCATATCTTTAGTAGACCTGGCACAGAAAGTGAAGTAAGTCGCTCATCGGCTCGTTCATCAAAGGAGTCACGTAAAACCAAGGACAAATCTAAGTCACCGGCACGCAGTGGTGACTTGAATGTCAATGAAAATCCCGATGAAGAGGGTGGTGGGCTGCAGCCAGCGCAATCGATGTGTCTGCCAGATATAAGGGCAGAAATCGAAAGGTAAGGGGTGGGGGGTAATAGAATTGATCAAAAGGGAGAAAATCAAAATTTTGAAGGCAGGGATACTTTGAGAAGCTATGAAGCAAGCAGTTTTATAACCGGGTTAAGGCAGGTAACCTCAACAGAGAACCCATATAGAGGTTCTGAATGTCAGTCAATCCATATAAGTCGAGCTAAAGCTCTGTGAGTCTATATAGGATGAGTTGAAGCTCAGTGAGTCCATATAGGCTGAGACGAAGAACAGTGAGTCCTAATAAACGAGACGAGCTGAGGCCCAGTTAGTCCATGAAGACGACTTGAGGCCCTGTGAGCCTATAAAGACGATCTGAAGTCCAGTTAGTCTATATAGACAAGCTGAAGCTCAGTGAATCCATATGGGACGTGTTAACGGCCAGTGAGTCCATACGGACGAGCTCAGGCCCAGTGAGTCTATAAAGAAGAGCTGAAGCCCAGTGATCCCATAAAGACGAGTTGAGGCCCAGTAAGTCCATATACCACGAGCTGAAGCTTGTAGAGTCCATATAGAACGAGCTGAAGCTCAGTGAGTCCATATGGACGGGCTGAAGGCCAGTGAGTCCATAAAGACGAGCTGAGGCCCAGTGAGTTTATAAAGACGAGCTGTGGCCCAGTGTGTCCATAAAGACGAGCTGAAGCCCAGTAAGTCCATAAAGACGAGCTGAAGCCCAGTAAGTCCATATGGGCGAGCTGAAGGCCAGTGAGACCATATAGGACGAGCTGAAGGCCAGTGAGACCATATAGGACGAGCTGAAGGCCAGTGAGACCATATAGGATGAGCTGAAGGCCAGTGAGTTCACAAAGACGAGCTGAGGCCCGGTGAGTCCATAAAAAACCTGAAGCCCAGTGAGACCATATATGACGAGCTGAAGCCCAGTAAGTCCATTAAGACGAGCTGAGGCCCAGTGAGACCATATATGACGAGCTGAAGCTTAGTTAGTCCATAAAGACGACCTGGGGCCCAGTGAGTCCATAAAGGCGAGCTGAAGCCCAGTGAGTCCATAAAGACGACCTGATGCCTAGTGAGTCCATAAAGACGAGCTGAAGCCCAGTGAGTCCCTAAAGACGAGCTGAAGCCCAGTGAGTCCAAAAAGACGAGCTTAGGCCCAGTGAGTCCATAACAACAAGCTGAAGGCCTGAGAGTCCACAAAGACGAGCTGAAGCCCAGTGAGTTTATATAGACGAGCTGAAGTTCATATAGGACAAGCTGACATTCTGTAAGTCCATATAGACGATCTGAAGCCTTGTAAGTTCATATAGACGAGCTGAAGTCCAAATAGACAAACTAAACCTCTAGAGAACATTTTTTTCCAAATTCCCCTAACCTAAAACCTTCCATTACAGATTCAACGAGATTTGGCGTGAAAAAGACGAGTCGGGCAATATGCGTCAGAGTCACTACTACGACATGATTTATGCCGAAAAATACGATGAAGTGGAAAAGGAGTTTCGACGAGTAGTCGATGATGTTATGCGACAGGAATTGGAACTTTTACAGGTACAAAAAACAATGCGGAAAACAATTTCCAACTAAAAATCTAAAAATTCTCTAATATCTTCTCCCTTCCATCGACAGACCGCCATTGGCAAAAAGGCCAAAAAGAATAACAAAAAAGCCCGGCGCTCCGGCAAGAAAAGCAAAAAGAAAAAGGAAAAAGATTTAACACCCGATCGCACTACCGAATCCTTGTACGAAGAATTGGTGACAAATGGCATTATAAGAAAATATCCCGAAACAAAGTTAAGTCAATTCCTAGGCGACAAGGCCTTAACCGCCAGAGATGGTATAAAACCCTCACCCGGCGATATACGACAAATTCTCACAGAATATTGTATTTTACCACTCGGGTCAGAACAGATACACAACTCTTGTCCACTGATACGTTCCATTTTGTTGGTGGGCCCCAAAGGATCGGGAAAGAAATCACTGCTACATGCCATTTGCACTGAAGTCGGGGCAGTTCTGTTCGACTTAACTCCGGCAAATATTGTTGGAAAATATCCCGGTAAATCGGGTTTAATTATGTTGATCCATTTGGTGTTGAAAGTATCAAGACTGCTGCAACCAGCCGTAATCTATATGGGTGATGCTGAAAAACCATTTATGAAGAAAATACCCAAAACCGATCGTACCGATCCGAAACGTTTGAAAAAAGATTTACCAAAATTAATACGAAATATAGCTCCCGAGGATCGAGTATTGTTTATTGGGACCTCAAATTTACCCTGGGAAGCTGATCAAAAATTGCTACAACAAACCTATAATCGTTTTATATACATACCCCGACCGGATTATGGAGCATTGTCGCATGCTTGGAAAACACTTTTGTGGTAAGTGTAAGTGAAGACGTCGAGTTCTAAAAGAAGGCCAAAAATTGGTCTTTATAGAAGAACGGAAGGTTGTCTTTATGAACGAGCAGAAGGCTGCCTTTCTAGACGAGCTGAGGGCTGTCTTTATAGACCAGCTGAAGGCTGTTTTTACAGACCATCTTGAGGCTGTTTTTATAAACCAGCTGAAGGCTGTTTTTATAGACCATCTTAAGGCTGTTTTATAAACCAGCTGAAGCTGGTCTTTCTAGACGAGCTGAAGCTTGTCTTTCTAGACCAGCTGAAGCTGGTCTTTTTTAGACGAGCTGAAGCTTGTCTTTCTCGACAAGCTGAAGGCTGTCTCTCCAGAAGGCAAGGAGGTCTTTAGAGGCCAGCTAAATTCATGTAGTCTTGATAGATGGGTTGCAAAGCCAGAGAGCTTACAACTGGCCCAAAGACAAATGGTTTTAAATTCTTTCCCATTCCAGCGAATATTCCGGTGGATTATCAAATCTGGATTGCAGTGTTATGGCCAAGATTTCCGATGGTTATACAATTGGAGCGGTTAATGCCTGCCTTAAAGAGGTTTTGACTTGTAAACGTAAACTACAGTTGCGGTCTCAACCCTTGACTCATGCCGAATTAATAAATGTTTTGTGGTAAGCCTTCGATTATTCTTATTTCAACAATTCCATATGACCTTCTTTTCAGCACCCGAGATCCGGTCTATCGTGAAGAAGAGGAAGCCTATGAATCGTGGTGGACTAAGACACCATTAGGAAGACGTCGGCAAAAACTATTAGAAATTGAGGAAGAGGCACGTTTAGAGGAGCAAGCCCTGGCGGCCAAACAAGGCAATGGAAAGAAGAAAGTTTGAAAGGGAAATAATCCCTCCCCAAATAAATATACAAGAATATTTTATAAAGGCTTAACTTATAAAGTAAAATATGCACATAAAGTCTTCATCGTCATATTATTTCAGTTCAAAATTGAATTCCTTAAAACCACTTTTACAATAAAGTCTATCAATTTTTAACTCTACAGGTAGTAAATCCTTTATACTTTCAACAATATCAGGTAACTGTTTGGTTATTTCATCGACATAGTCTCCAAGGCACCATAGTATACTAATATGGAAAGAAGGATCCTGAAAAGAAAGAAAATCAATTATCAACTGAACTGGATCAGATTTCGTTCAATAAAGTAATCCAAACACAATTTAACTATTTCAGTTCACCTCATAAAACGTGGCCAGTTTAAAGTTCAACATAACACGATCAACTTTCTTTAAAATCTCCAGCATTTTCTCTAAATGTATGTCATCTACACGAATGGCCAAAAAAGTACGTGTACGTTCTGCATTTGTATAGGCTTTCAAACTACTTAGCGATATGGTAAATCTGAAAGGAAATTCCAATTAAATTATTTTGAAAAACTATTGTTTATGACAAAAACTTATCTTACCTTGCAGTTGCTGTAAACTCCTCCTCCAAAGTTTTTATAAATGATTCTATAAAATGATATTGTAACACAACAGTTCGACTTAAACTTATGTGGAGATCAGGGCAAATTTTAAAATCACATTTACTATCCAATTGTCTGAGGCATAATTCTTGTAAATCTTCCAGCAGGGATTTTGGCGTTGCAACAAAAACATATGTAGCCCAATTACCACGTTCGTGTTTAAAACTTCGTATACGTCCTTGGTGTTTGGATGGATCATCTGTAACTACGTCCTCATCAGGCAACTTTCGTTTTCCAAGTAAGGTTGTGGCCTTGGGGAGTATTAGCCTAAATATTAAATTTTGTATAAATATTCTTGCATGTATTTGCTAAATATTTTATGCCAACATTTTTCGGACAAACTGTGCTCATTGAGTCTAGCAAATGTTACTCAAGTTATGCGAGGAATCGATATCAGCCCCAATGAGTTCAATAAACGTTGATTTGAATATTTAACTGAAGGACAAACTTGCGCGCCAAATATTTTAACGGACCTCAAAAGAAGCCTATTCGAATTTAGCACAGTGTAATCATCTGTTCCCACATTTTGTTAAGACAATTTGTGATGTAAACTCACTTTTTTGTTTCTGTATGATGATTATCGACTTCTTTGACATCCTCCTCAGCTTCAGATTCGGAAGTACTACTATAGTTAACTAAAAACATTAGAAAAAGTTTATTTTGCGAAAGATGTGTTTGTGCAATGTTTACTAGTTGCTCACACAAGGAGAAGAAGCATTCAAGTTTGACATTGCCTGTAGACGTGACAGCTGTCGTCGTGAAGGAAGGGATGGGAAGTTGCAATTTATACAATTTTTACCTACATTAATTATAAGCTAAGCGATTTATTTATTCAAATTTTGTTATTCAATATTTTGAATTTTCACAGCATCAGAAGAGGCACCAGAAGACATGGTTCGATCTCTACCATCTTTATAACAGATCTTGAGTTGATGGAAATATTGAGATGTATCAAGTCTTAATGGAATCGGATGTTCATTTAGCGTTTTATGAGCTTTATTGATATATTACAGCGGATCTTGTGTGGTGTTTGTGGGGGAGTACCAGAAGGAGTGCGCCGATATGTCCCATTTTCACAGCAGATCCTGTGTTATTAAAAATAATGGGATGATGTATTTGTAGAGAACCAGATGATTATTTCGAAATTTATGATACTTTTGGTTATTCAAAATTTTGACTGTTTGTGGGGGAGGCACCAGAAGAAATGATTCGATCTCTATCTGCCAAGTCTGAATGGAATCGGATGTTAATTTCGCGTTTTATGAGCTTCATTACGGATAATACGTACGTTATTTATATATATATATATATATATATATATATATATATATATATATATATATATATATATATATATATATATATATATATATATATATATGAAAATAAATAAATGAAAACTGCCTCAGGGCTGTATTTATGTAGTTATACAAAGCGGTTCTACCTCCTCATTATATCATGGGTTAGGTCTAAAATATGTAAGAACATCTGTAGCTCATTCCCTAGTCTATGTCAGCAAAAACATTGACAGATTACAAAATTATATGTTTTGCAAGTCCATCGAAGTTTATCGGTCAGCTCCAAAACATATGTCTCATGCACTTACGGGAAAGCTGCCCCTATGTATCTAACTAACTAAGGGAGAATACATCATGGTAATTCTGTAGTTTTACGAAGCTGTTCTACCTCCTTATTGTACCATGGAATACATAAAAATCTTTTTTGTCTGGCTTAAGCATGACAGAAGAATACAGGTAGATGCATCAACGCTTGGGAGCATTGATATGTCAAAAAAATGTAAATGTTTTTTCAAATATAAGTAGATTTTTATATGTTTTCTTATACTACGTCATTCTAAGGCTATTATAATTCGCGTTTTTCAACAATTTTTACAAATTTAAGTAATTTTCATTCAACATTTTCAATTCCAAAATTGATTTGACAGCTCATTGTACCAGCAGCTGTGTCGACGCGTCTACCTATATTCTTCTACCATGGGCTTAAGCCATCGGCTGGCTGCTTTGTAGAGGAACAAAGGAGTTTTAGGTTGACTAACTTCGATTTTGGCTCTACGCTCCTTTGTTCTTCTCCGAAGAACCCAGCCAAAAAAAGCGTTTTATGTATTCTTATCTTTAAAGCTTTGAACACTAATAAATCTGACAATTTGCGGGGTTTCATAATATTCTACAAAATGTCATATTGTGTACACCTGGCTACAGAAGCATCTATTTTATTGAAGATGTCGATTGGTTGGCTAAAGAATCTGCGAAGCATCTTTTTTCCGTGAACATAAATCTCTCCGCCAGAGAAGTAATGATGCAAATAAAGGAGAGAGATAAGACGGCAAAGTTTACAATTTTTTAATTAGTGTTACACCTTATTATTGTGTCATGCCCTTTAGCATAAAAATGACACACGTTATATTTATAGGTTTACTTTCATGTCAGCTGTTTACTGTGATTTGTTAATCGTTTTACGCTATCATTGTGATTTACACGACCTGTGTGCTTAATGGGCCTTGCGCTGGTCGAAAGAAAAATTTAAAAACTAAACAAAAGTGTAAATGTTAAATGGTCTGGTTGGAAATATAAAATACAACCGGGAAAATAACAATAAATATGAGACTAGGAGCCGTGTTGTATGTGTACAAAGGCGAATGGGGACTGCCTTCCATTGATTTCGAGTGTTTGCGCGTTCTGGTATGTGTCAAGCGAGTAGTAGTGTGATGGTGAACATGATTTTAATAGCAAGTTGCATCATACTGGCTACATACTCCAATCATCCTGCCATCATCTCAAGATGATTATCGTTTCCAGCGTTTGGCAGTATGAGTGTTGTGTTCTTGAATAATTTGAATTTTTACATACTTCTTTATAGTGCTTGATCAAATTTACCCGCTGTCCAGTCGTTATTGAGACAAATTCCAACCCCTTGCGCTCCGGTGCCGGCAAATTGCCGTATCTTCAAATAGGCGATGAAAAATTTGTAGGTTACAGACAGATAAAGAAATTGTTAGACAAAGAGGTGAGTGAGCGAATGGCGTGCATGATAAGTGACTGCACTTTTAGAATGTGTGCCCAAATATGGTTAACAATATGTAATGTTCATTGGGTTCAATGGACTCTCTAAAAAAACATGTTGCTATTTATTTCTATTTTCAGGGCTATGCCATAAATCATGAGCTCCGGCAAAAGGATCGCCATCTCTCGGAATGTTTTGCAAATTGGGTGTTCACAAAACTGCATGTCTACCACAATTATTATTTATATGGCGAACCAAACAATTTCGATATAACCCGTGCATTATATGCCAAACGAACTCCATTCCCATTTAATTTCTACTATCCGTCCACGTACCAAAAGGATGCCCATGATGTTATCTCAGTGATGGGTGGTTTCGATATTGATGATAAATTGGAGAACCACAATGTGGAATATGTAGGTTGAAATAGCAATATTACTGTAAATTGATAATAATGTCCTTTCGTTCTTTTTAGATTACCAGTGAGGCCAAGAAATGCATCAATGTATTGTCAAAACGTTTGGGCCGCAATTTGTGGTTCTTCGGCGACAAATATAGTGAATTTGATGCCATAGTATTTTCATATTTAGCGATACTCTTCAAAATCACTTTGCCCACAAATCCCATACAAAATCACATAAAAGGCTGCCCAAACTTAGTGAATTTCATAAATAGAATATCCCGTGATATATTTAAGAAGGAAGCATTTAATTCGATTAACACCAGCAAAGATAATGCTTCGCCCAATGATCCCATGTTGACAGCAACAGAACGAAAGTTCCTAGAATCGGAAAAGAAGACAAAAATCTTGGCTGGCATTGGTGCAGTTGTAGCCATGAGTTCCTTTGCGGCCCTGAAAATATTTTATAAAAAGGTAAAGAAGCGGAAATTCTATATTTTAAAGCCACAACTAACCATTTTTAAAATTTCAGTTTTCCAGCTCAAATGATCATTATGATGGGGGCATTCATTATGACGATGATGATATAGATGAAGATGATATGGACTAAATACCAAAAAAACAAAATAGTTTCGAGATCACAAAGAGGAAAAAATTAACTGCCTTTGCCTTCTTTTCGTGTGTGTTTTATTTACTAGGACACACATTTATATATTGCATCAAGGATTTTTGGTTTGGGCTGTCGAAAAAATATTGAAGTAGATTTGTTTTGTATTACAAATATTTTTGAGATGAATAAGAAATTAATGCATTTTTGCTTTCAAATTTAAATTATTTGTTGAAATGCCACAATTGTTTGTTAAGTTTTGTTTATCGCGACATCTTTTGCAATCAATTTTCAATGAAATAAACGATGTAATAAAATGGAATATCCTGTGGTATTTTTGCTGCTCTATTAGACATTTATGGTATATGACATTCATCGGGTATGCCGGGATTTCCAATTTAGGAGAGAGAGGATGATTGGTGGTTTGAAACAAAAAGTAATATTTATTGGACATTGTCAAATATATAAACTTATCACCTAATTATTATTATGATAAATTGCTTGCGAAATATCCGCAAAAGTCTTAAGCCTTTAAAGCTTCTTGTAATTTCCTTCGGGCCAAGTTTACACGATCCTCCTGCCGTCGTATATCATCTTCTGAAATGAGTACCCCCTGCATTAGCGGTTGATCGGGATTAATGTAAGCTGTGGCGTTTTTTTGAAACTCAGTCTTAGTGGCAGTTTGTCCGGTGACAGGTGTATTGAGGACATGTAAAGCTGTGGCCAAGGATTGCATAACAGTCTGTTCATGTATATTGGGACCCAGCGCCTTAATACTCTTTGGTAATACAATATCATCGAATTCTTCTCCAGTGGCATGACAGGCTCGCATATTTTCCAAACGTTTCTCCCAAAACAGCTGTTTGGGTTTGTCTTGAGCCACCTGTTTGGTGTCATGTTTTACTTTATTCCATTCATGATTGCGTACCACGGTAACAGGTTGTTTGAATATAGATGCCGTTTGACGTATGGGTGGAACTAAGGAGGCATCGGTACGCATAGCACGGCTGTTAAAAAGATAAAATAGTAGCATTACTATTACGATCACAATTTCTGCAAACAAAACTTGTATATATAGACAATAAAACTAAATGCAGTGGGAATAGGGTCATTGCGAACTGCAATCTGTAGTTAAATAACTTTCGTCAGGCAGATCGTTATGACCCTATTCTACTGTGTGCATAATTGGTCTATTCCAGAATCTGAAAGAATCTACTATTTTTTTGCAATTTTCTCCGATATCATAAAGGGAAAATCGGTTATCGTTGTAAAAACTTTTAAATTCCTGCAGTTCTGGAACAGGCCATATGTTTAAAATGTATCCAATACACTTTTTAGCCATTATGATGGTTGTATTAAAGAAGGAACGTCATCATGCAAAAAAATCAATTCCACTAAATAAAAAGTGCAAACACAATGTTGATTTAATTCATTTAACGAGCCAATATTGTTTTAAAGAATAAAATCAAAAGTTTTGTGTGATATAAAGAATTTTCTTCAAATTTGCCAATCGCTATCGAATATGTTTATGTAGAAATATGCTTAATAAGAACTCTTCATGAAGACATGGCATGCAACACAATTTCGCCCATCTAATGGGCTCTCCTTTCTACCTGAATTCTAACTGTTGTTGTTGCTTTAGATTAGACGTTGACAAATTCGAAGAAGTCGTGGCTGATGATGATGACGACAACGATGATGAAGTCGTTGCAGTAGTTGAATTCAATATATTATAGCTTGTTGAGGCTGCAGAAGTTTGCAACGGCGATTTATGTTTACGTTTTAAAGAGTGTCCCGTTGACGGTTGTGGCACAATTGTAATACTGCTTGTGCTGCTGCTTGTACCGCCGCCAATACCACACCCAACTGGAGCAGTACTAGCACTAATCGATGTTCCTGGCAAGCAACGATACAACGAAATTGATGGTGGTGGCAATTGCATTGTAAATTTTCCCTTTTGAAAATCAAAACTGCTTATGTCTATGGCGTCTCCTAAATAACGAGCTAATTGGGGTTTACTATCAATGCGTTTTCCGGTGGGACTTTAGGGGTTTCAGTATAGCAACATCAGCAGCAAAACGACGACACGTTAAGTTTGGGTTTTTTTTGTTCGGGGGAAAGTGGGGAATAATCAAAAAAGGTGATAAAGTCGCATATGAGGTTTTATTTAACAAAAGGTGAATATTTGGTAGTTTGTGTTTAGGTATATATATGTAATAATTTGTTGTTACTGGTGGGTGATTTACGTGCTTAGTTTGTTCATTTACTCAATGTAGTTTACGTTCCCAACCCAAGTTCAGCCCGTCTTACCTGTAATAGTAGACATCAACTTTTCCTGCTGAGATTCCAGACTTTCGTAGGACTTCTTCCCTTTGCCAGCCCTTTGGCAAGGCATTGCAATCGACTTTTTTACGTTCTATTGAAATATTCGAGCTCATTTGCATTCTATAACAATTATTTATGATTTTATAGCTTTTTTCTTTTGGCTGAAGAATGAATTTTCACACAACACAACAAAACTCTGCTTCTTATTTAAGTGACCACTCACAGTGAGATGGTCGCCCAAACAGTAAAGGGGATGTAACAGTGATAATTATCAGAAGGATTTTTTACAGGAGATGAAATCGTATATAAGAAAAATTAAAACAAAGAAGCCCAGTTTCACCTGATAATTAACCAATCACAATAAATTCTCTTATGGAAAACGTTTATTACAGTTGACCCGGATAAAGATGTAAGCAAAACGGAAAACTACTATTGTGATTGAAAAACCTCATACTATCAAAATGTCTGTTTGCGTTTTTACTATACAAATGAAATCATGTATCATTTTGACGTTATAATTTTCTACTTAATACAATGATTAAATTATTAATACTTAATGTGTCAACTTTATTTGTTTATGTGTGTATATTCTTTTTAATAATAACAACCTGGTAGAAGAACTCAGGTAGATGCATTAACGCTTGAAAACATTTATATGTCAAATTTTCTAAAATCTTTTTTTTTTGCAAAAATAAGTAGATTTGTATAAGTTTTTTTTATACGACGCCAAGTGGGGGATCTTATGATATGTATTTTTCTACAATTTTAACGAATTTGAATAATTTTTCATTCAAAATTCTCAAGTTCAAAATTGATTTCACAGTTCATTGTCTCATAAGCTGTGTCCATGAAGAATACAGGTTGATGCATCAACACTTGGGAACATTGATATGTCAAAAAATTTTAAATGTCTTTTCAAATATAAGTAGATTTTTATATGTTTTCTTATTATTATACGCGTTTTTCAACAATTTCTTCAAATTTAAATAATTTTTCATTCAACATTTTAAATTCCAAAATTAGTTTAAACAGTTCATTGTCCCAGCAGCTGTGTCGATGGGTCTACCAATATTCTTCTACCATGGCTGTGTCGAAACAACATTGTCAGTATTCAAATTCGGGTGTTTTCCACATGCTAATTGCAACGTATGCATGGACAAAATCTACAGTTTTTGTATTTAAATAAACCTTTAGAAATATATAGAACATGATTTTGAAAAGAAATTTGACCTTTCATTCAGTAGCAATTTTTTCAAAGTTAGCCTACCTTGTCGTCATTGTACCAAGATTAATACTATGCATTGGCCTTGGAGGCTTTAGAATTATTATATGCAATTAAAAAATACTGGCCGTGCAAGCACAACGAAAAAATACCAATCTGATTGAAATCCCTTCATACTATCAACAATGTTCTTACGTTTTTATACGTTTAATTTACAATTGCGTTACTTTGACAATACGAATAAAATCAGCTAGTCTTATTTGATGCGATAATGGTGAACGCACTATAATCCTCTTTGGAGTTTTCTATAGAAAAATCCCGTACGCATTACACAGTGAGTGAATCTATAAAAGAAAGAAGAAGCATTATTTTGACAAACCCCCCATTGTACAGAAGGAGAGGTTTTTAATTTCTATCATTTTTAAATTATTTATTATAAATTTAAGGTAATTTTACCATGATTAGCCGTAAATAACTGTAAAGCAACTTCAAATTATTGAAAAATCTTCGAGAAAACCTAGAACTTTTTTAATATACAGGGTCTAAAATCTAATGACTTTTTTCCTTTTCTAGAAGATAACAACAAGCCAGTCAGCCATTCAGTTAGCAAGAAAGAATGTCGGCTGTAACATGGGAGATAGCATTGTACATAATCCTAGCCATATTGGCTCACATACTAGTCTTCTTATTTGTGACAAGGAAACGGGCCAAGAGTATTGTTGGAAAACATGTGGTAGTTACAGGAGGCAGTAAAGGAATTGGTTTACGTGTGGCCGTGGAATGTGCTCTGCGCGGGGCCAACGTTACGGTTTTGGCACGAGATGAGAAAATGCTAAGTAAGTACAGAATATGACCGCACCCATAAAAGTGTATTCACGTTCGAACATTTGTTTACATTATGTGCTAGCATGTGTTTTATGATAAAATAGTAGTTCATTCTACTTTTTTCTCGTTTATCAGGTGGTGCTGTTGCACTTATGGAGGTGATAAGACAAAGTCCAGAACAAAAATTCCAATATCGCTGTCTCGATTTGTCGACCAACTATGAAAATGTTCAGAAATGTTTAGAGGAAATCGAAAAGGAATTGGGTGATATATACATGTTGGTTAACTGTGCGGGCTTGGCCATTTGTGGGGTGTTCGAGGATGTGTCTGTTGAGGATGCTAGAAAATTAATGGATGTAAATTATTGGGGCTCATACAATTGTACCCGCTATGTTTTGCCTAAAATGAAACAGGCCAAGGCGGGAATAATCGTTATAACCGCATCACAAGCTGCTCTGTTTGGCATTTATGGTTATGGACCGTATGCTGCATCAAAATATGCATTGCGTGGCATGGCTGAAACGGTGGCAATGGAATGTCGTCATTTGGGTGTCACCGTGACATTGGCATTGCCGGCAGACACAAATACTCCCGGTTTTGAAAATGAAAATAAAACCAAACCCCAAGAAACGAAATTGATTTCTGGCGGTGGTGGTTTGGCTGAACCCGATGCTGTTGCAAAACAAATTGTTAATGATGCTTTGGTGAGTAAAATATTGAAAATTAAAAATCGCAAAAAATAACTAATCGAACTTCCATTGCAGAAAGGCAATTTCATTTCCATACTTGGTTTCGAATCATGGCTATTGACTTTAATGGGTGGTGCTCTTTTCAAATGGGATGGATTTTTCCAAAATTTATTCCATGCTGTGCTTTTGGGCCCTCTTCGTATTGTTGGTTATTTCTTGCACTTGCATTTCGAAGGGATTATCAAAAGTTGTGCTAAAAAGAAGAAGACTGAATGAAAGTACCTAACGAATCAGGATTGATGTGCTTGTTATTGTTGTTTACGCACAATTGAGAGTAATTGCCTTAGATCGAGGATAGTCTACTTATGACAAGTTCCACATTCTGTAATTGTACATTCAAATGAAAATGTATGCATTAAAAAAAAAACTTGTTAGATTTTTAATCTTTCTAAGTATTTATCTAAAAATTAATTGATTCATTTTTCCATGTCCACAAACTACGTAGAGTATTTTTATAAAATGCAAGTTAAGTACTTATATATATTTGTAATTCCATTTATAATTAACGAAAAATAAAGGCTTTTTGATTTCATAATTTATTAAAAATAACAACTTTAATTATGCCAAATCAGATTTTTTAATATTGCTTTACTATTCATCCCAAATAGTTAAATACGTATTCTATTTTTTGATTTAATAAAAATACAAAATAACCTTACCAAAAACTTCACAGTAGTTGCTTGTAATCTCAGTGCCGATGTCTTTGCTAAACCATCACAAACAATCTTACTATTATCTGAAACATTAATGTTTCCTCACAGTTTTTTATCAGCGTTTCTGTGGAAATGATTCAGCAACCAATCGGAAGCCAATTAATATTGATATCTTCTTAATTGCCTGTGTTACCCATGAAATTACCAAAGATAATGGCGAAGCTATCTTTTTCGTCATTTATAAGCTACATGTATGTAATTTTTTATCATAATATGGATATTAAGTTGTTGCCTTAGTGTGATATTGATTCTGAAATTATGCAGAAGTTACTTTTCTTTGCGCTTCTGATTTTTGCAATCTCTATTGGGGAAAACAATGCGAAAAAGTTTCGTATAGTTAATGGAAAAAATGGTTTAATAGAAAACTTTCCATTTCAGGTAAGTTACAGTGATTTTATGCCTCCAGATCGAGCCCATGAATAATATACACAATTTACCTATTTGAAATTTAAGCTCTCGCTAAGGCTTAGAACAATACATATATGTGGTGCTTCGGTTTTAAGTGACTCTTGGGCCATCACAGCGGCCCACTGTGTACACGATGTTGAGCATACACCCAGAGAGGTAACTCTACGCATGGGCAGTACATGGAGAACAAGAGATGGTGTAATTGTACCCGTGCAACAGATTCACACTCATCCCAGTTATAATGCCGAAACAATGAACTTTGATGTATCATTGCTGAAAGTTCGTGAGAATACATTCCATCGTCCCGATTTGTATGTCAAGCCGATTAAACTACCAGGTCTTTCGGAAAAAATTCCCAATAATAGTGTGGCCACAGTATCGGGATGGGGTCATCAAAGTTCTTCAGATCACAATTTGTCATACCAATTAAAGTATACTCAAGTGTTTACGGTTGACCAAGTGGAATGTAATAACAGTTTAAGGATACATGGAGGTGTTTCAAATGCGTATGTTCAATTAGCGATTTTTTTGGAAGTTGTGTTGTGAGTTTTTTTCTTGTTACAGAATGTTTTGTGCTGCAGCCCGCAGTACAGATGCCTGCCAAGGTGACAGTGGTGGACCCATACAAATTAATGGTATTTTGGTTGGTGTTGTCTCATGGGGCGTTGGTTGTGCTGATCCTTATTATCCCGGTGTCTATACCCGTTTAGCATATGCTCCCATACGCTTTTGGATAAAACTTCTAACGAAGTTATAAATATTAGAAAAGTGAAAACTTTTGAATAAAAAACATTTAAATTTGGAGAGTTTTATCGTTATTTTCTGTTTAAATACTGGGTTATCGACGTTTAACAAAGATTTATAAAAAATTAAAATGAGTAACGGCATATAAATCCTGAAAATGGATTTGTAAATATGAATTTTGAAAATTAAAAGGTTGTCAAATTAATAATTTTGAAAAAAAATTTTAACATATGAATTCATGAATATACCTTTCTAATTCTACCATGCCCTAAACTTAAAAAATTATTCTCCACATGAATCATGGTAGAAGAATATAGGTAGACGCGTCGACACAGCTTAACATTACTGCTTTTACATCATTTCCTATGTAGGTCCAAATCTCTCAATGCTTCAAGCAATCGCTAAAAAATCGGGGAAACGCAACTTCCCTTTCAAATTGAGACCAAACTGCATATATACATAAAGTATTACACATTTTGCAATTGTAGGAAACATGAAATATACGACTAAATTACTACTATTAATTTCCGCATCATCGCCGTTGGTGTTTTGTTAAGTATAACCGCAAATTTTTCTATTATTAGGCAAAAATAGGTTTTCATTGTCCTGCAGTGCAATATTATATAAAAAAGGGCATACAGTAGTATTGTATATGAAGAAATGGAATTATATCACAAAACGTGATATGGGATTTGACACTAGTAATTCTCTAGAGTCAAATCAGCTGGAGTTTGCTTCTAACTGTAATAATTATACCATGTGGATAGTCAAGGATTTTTAACCATATCAAATTTTAAAAATTTATAAAATTTTGTTCTATCCCTAAACTCAAAAATTTATTTCCCACATGAATTTCAACAGCATTTAATATTTTCTATATTTGATCTGTTCCGGAATCTGCAAGAATCTACTAGTTTATTAAATATTTCAAAAATATTTATATTAAAATCAATTAAAATAAATAACATTTAAAACGCTGACACCTGCACCTTATTAACTATATCATTTTTGTTGAATTGTTGGTGTAAACTCCATAAAGGTTGGCAACGTCATGCATGTTTTAAACAGCTGTTATGCCATATGATGTTATCACTTCCATTTCACAAAAAAGAAGAAGAACCGCAACAACGAAACGATACGATGGGAACAACTTTAAAAGGATTCAGATATGTCCTATTTGTTGGAGCAATTGTTGGTGGAATCGGTGCCACCTTATATCCCATAGTCATTAAGCCTATGATGGGTGTTGACGACTACAAAGAACTGAGGAAGAAAGTTGCCGGCGAAGTCCGAAAGCACTGACCACAGGTTGTCGGCGACAGAGTGAAGCGTTTGATATAAATATTTATTACCTAATAAATAGTCTATTTTAATTATTAATGGAACCTACGCCTATACATTACATGCATTTGCTGTACTGTGTAAAGCACTGCAAGATGTATCTATTATGTTAATGTTATTTAGAGTTAATAAAATTCGTTTGCTTTACAACAACCATTTATATATTTGTTTTCCATGAATAACATGGGAAAAGTCATTATGGTTATCAGGGGAAAAGCCGGCGTGGACGTTGGCCATGTTTCTTGATGGGGAGTATTTAGTATCAGCTTTCCATAACAAATATAAAAAATACGTCTAAATTCTGAACATTGGGATATTCCATTTACTAAAACGTGGGCCACCCTTATAGTCCATCTTCAAACCGCTCAAAAAAACTGAAATATATAAAATTTCCGGTCTCCATCGCAATTTGTTCATATGGTAGAATTATTACAACGTATTAGAACTTAATTAAGATCAAAAATATACCTAAATCTTTTATGAAATAGTAAGTTACCCCCATGGAAGATAAAAAATGGAAACATTTAGATTGTATACGTTAAAAACCAGAGCCTAATATAAAACAATAGTCTTTGTAGGTTACCATAAAAATCGTCTATGAAAGAGACGTGATAAATACGTGTCTCAAAAATGTACTTTGACATAACCATTTGTCCGAGAGCTGACGTACCCAATGATAACCCCAAAAATGCACGAAGTAATATTCAATTCCGTTGGATAATGTGGTCAAAAACTTTGAAATACTTGAAAATAAACGTTACCTTTATATGGGTGATATACCAAAAACGCGGATAGATTCCGCATTTCCTAGTACAAAGTAAAGTGAATCTTCCAGCTAATTATAATTGTTATGAGTTCTCCCGATTTCTGCCAGAAATATGTTTGCATTTATTGTTTTGTAAAATAAAAACAAAAACATTTTTTTTAATTATTAAAAGTATTAAAAGCAGCGCTCACTGTGGGAATGCATTAGAGATATTAAACAATTTTTCCAAGGAATTGAATTAATCAGCCACATTAGGGAAGAAAATCCAGGCATTTCATTCCTCTCACGCTTTTTATACCCTACACCACAAGGTGGTCAGGGTATTATGTCTTTGTGCATTTGTTTGTAACAGACAAAAGGAAACAAGATAGACCCATAGTTCCTTTTTGATGATCTGCATAGAATCACTTTCTGAGTTGATTTATGCATGTCAGTCCGTCTGTCCATGTATTCCTGTGAACAAAATGCAGGTCGCATTTATCATCCAATTGAGATGAAATTTTCCAAACAACATTTGTTTGGCCCAAGGACGAACCCTATTGAAATTGGAGACAATCGGTAAAAATTTAGATATAGCTCCCATATATGTATATCTTCGTCCGATTTGCCTTTTATTGTGCACCAAACGTTTAATATCAGCCCGAATAGTATGGAATTTTGCACATACAACCAAATTAGTCCTGAAAATAAGTATGCCAAATTTGATCGAAATCGGTTCAGCTATAGCTATAGCTCCCATATATATAGTTCATCTGATTTGTTGTATTTGTTACCCACAGCCGTAATATGCACTCCGTAACAACGATATTCAGGGAAATATATCAAATACAGCTCAGAGATATATTTGCCAAATTTTATCGAGATCGGTTCAGATTTGGATATAGCTCCCATATATATCTTTATCTGATTTCAAATTAATTTTGCACAAAATGGGCAACATAGGTTCGAATTTAAAAGATACAAATTCTTCGGCATATTTAGTCCTTTGAATTTAAAATTATAATTATAATCAAAGGGTGTATGATTGAATTCTCCCATAAAAACTTTTAATTGTTATATGGAGCTCAACTAAATTAGCAAAGTGGTGTAGGATATCATAAAATCGGCCCCGCCCGACTTTAGGACTTTCTTTAATGGTTAACGATAAGGAAAAGTATCAAATGAATATAGGGCATATTAAGATAATGAGAACAACCGGTTACATATTTTTGTGAATAATTCTAAAATAAAGCGGGCACAGGCTCAGGACCATGGCCCAAGATGCTCCATCCTCAGAAGTGTATTTTAGCAGTTTTACCATGGCAGAAGAATACAGGTAAATGCATCAACGCTTGGGAGCATTGATATGTCAAAAAACTTAAAGGTTTTTTCAAATATAAGTAGATTTTTAAATGTTTTCTTATACGACGTCATTCGGAGGTTATTATAATTCGCGTATTTCAACAATTTTTGCAAATTTAAATAATTTTTCATTCAACATTTTCAATTCCAAAATTGGTTTGACAGTTCATTGTCCCAGCAGCTGTGTCGATGCGTCTACCTATATTCTTCTATCATGAGTTTTACGAACCTATTTTACCGCCCTATTGTAACATGCGTACCTTGTGTAGAAACCCCTTCCTGGCCAGCTGATCACTAAATTAAATGTCAAAATTCATTATTGTTATCATGGTAGAATTAGGAAAGTAAAGTCATATGTTTACAATTGTTTTCGAAATTACTCATTTGACATCTCATTGTCAAAATTTATGTTTACAAATCCATACACAGAATCAGAAATCACAGATGGGAAACTTTTTTTATGCAGGGAAATTAGAAATGGTAAATTACAGAAAATACAGAGATGGATATGCTTATTTCAAATAAGTTTACCTTCTTAAGTTTGCCATGGTTGTTATTACGCCATGATTTGTATTTTTGCATTTCTTGTGTCATGGCATAATTATATCCATGGTACAATGAAATAAAGGTAGCCTCATTTCAAATTGGCATTCCCAGCTCTGTAACTTACCTTGTCAAATTTCAATGCATTTCCCATCTCTGGTTTTGTGTGTATTCAATGGAATATAGATTTTGACAATGAGGTGTTGTCAAATATATAAACTAAAAAAAAAGGTAAATATATGATTACATGACTTTACCTTCTTAGTTCCATGGTAGAAGAATACAGGTATTCGCATCGACATAGCTGCTGATACAATGAACTGTCAAATCAATTTTGAAATTGAAAATTTCGAATGAAAAATTATTCAAATTCCTTAAAATTTGTTGACAAATGCATATCATAAGAACCCCCGATTGGCGTCGTATAAAAACTTATAAAAATCTACTTATTTATAAAATTTGACGCATCAGTGTTCCCAAGCGTTTATGCATCTACCTGAGTTCTTTTACCATGCCTCTAACATATTTTATTACAGCGAAAAGTAGTAGTATAATTACATACGTATTCAGAGCTTTCATAGCCTATTCATAATGTGACATCGACGAAAAATATTATTACACAACGCGGACACCGTTTAAGTGTTAATATACATTTTATGTTTAATAAAAATACTTTCAAATCTGAATAAAGAGTTTTAGGACAACATGTTCACTGTAAACAAAATTTCATGGTTGAAGAATATAGGTAGTCGCATCGACACAGCTGCAGGGACAATGAATTGTCAAACAACTGTAAAAAAAAAAAACATTTTAAAAATTTTGACCTATAAATGGAATTGGAAATGTTGAATGAAAAGTTATTGATATTTGTAAAAATTGTCGAAAAATTCATATTATAACACCCACCGATTTGTGTCTTATAAAAACATTTAAAAATCTATTTATTTTTGATAAAATATTTTATAAATTTTGACATATTAATGTTCCCAAGCGTTGATGCGTCTCCCTATATTCTTCTACAATGTAGGGTATCAACAGATCAGGGTCACCCGATTTTTCCTTTTGCAAAATCGCTAC